GTATGTATTTTTTGGTATATTAGTATATTTATTTAATTTTATTACTTGTGTTATTTAATAAAAAGATAAATACGCAACCCAATAGATACCCATTTATAATCCATATTAACTCACTTAATTAAAATGAATCATATTACTCAACTAATTTATAACTCATGTTAATTAATATATATATCCAACTCATTTGTTTATGGATGGGTTGGACAAATTAATGAATAATGGGTTAAGATTGTCAACTTTAAGTACAATTAACCCGAAAATACGACAAAATTTCCCATGGGGCGGGTTAAACTTGGGGGACATAAGAGTATAAATGACTATAAAATCTTCAAATTCAGATGAAAAATGATCAAATTCATCTTTGTTGAAAGACAGTTTCCTCCCATGTGACATATTCTCCTAAATTAACAAATGTTCAAACCTTGGATTGCCAACGATTCAATTGGTATCCATCCGTACAACTCGTCTTACCAAACTATGGATCGGTACATAGGATTGAGTCATTTATGATTGCCAAGAATCTTTCATTTCCTCGTTTATGTTTACTAACACAGATAAAAATTAAAAAAATAAAAAAAATTTGTATTTGGTAAAATGAAAAAAAAAAATTTATTTATTTATTTATTTATTTATTTTTAAAAAATTATAAATACATATTTTTATCATTATATCTATATACAAAATTAATGTATACATAATAAATAATTGATAAATATGATATATGTGTATATATCAAAAAAATATATAGATAAATAACATATATTTAAACATATATAATTAATTTTTCCTCTTAATTTTGAAGGGTCTAATTTTGGTGAATTGGAGGAAAGTTCATCCATCCATTTTTTCATCATTTCTATTTTCTTTTCTTACTAAATATGATATTTTATGTAGGGCTATCAAATTTTGACAAGATATGAACTGAACACGAAATTAATAGGTCAAACACGAAATTAAACGGGTCAATGGGTAAAAATGAATCAACACGCTTAAATACGAAAAAAATCATATTGGATTCATGTCAAAATCAAGTTAACGCGATTTTTACCTGTATATTTTAAATGAGTTCACATAATTCAGACACAAGCCCTATCTAACCCATTATAGACCTGTTTAACCCGTTTACGGCAATATAATTTGTCTATTATGTATGACTGATGCGGTCTTACATTATTACTTATTAATTCTTGTTTCTACAATGGTAATTGGAAGTATAGTTCCTAACATTATTATGACAATATAGTAGTATAGTTCCTGCTTTATTTTTTGGGTTGAAACTTGAATGTATTTTAATTAATTTCATTAATGAGATGTGCTATGTTATTGGTGAAACAATTATTTAAAATATTTGTATGAAAGATTGAATGGTGTATTTAATGGTAATGAATATGTATGAAAACATGTTATATGTATTAAATAGGTCGTGTTATGTGTATTAAACAGGTTAAACATGTCGTGATAAGTATGAACCTGAAAACAACTAGTTTATTAAACGTGTCAAAGAGATCAGGTTCAGGTAACCCGTTTAATGGTCAGGCCAGGTTAGTATTTACACCTCTCGACACAATTAATAAACATATCATGTTCATGTTTTAGGATTTTCGACACAAACTTGAAATCAACCTGACACGTTTGACGCAAACTAATTTTATCTATCCCTCCAACTTTTACCCTTCAATTTTTTTATTGTACCAAATAAAGCATTAGGAGAAAGTGTGTAAGTCAAATTCTAAAGTTCATTAGGTCAAAATAATATCAAAAATGAATCCAAGAGGTCGAGAAACCTTGGGATATGTGGGGTGTAGGGGTGTATTAGATGTTTGAAAATATTTCGGGTCTTAAAACGCATATTTGAAAGAATTCGGATAAGAAGGAATTTGATATTACCTTAATATTTTGGTCAAAATTCCCTTGATATCCAATTGAGCTAATTCTTGCGGCATTATAAAGTGGACTAAAAAAGTTACAAATATTTTATGAAAATTTCTTATATCATTTCTACCCAAGTCAAAATCAGATTGAATGTTTGGGGGCAGAAGGCCACCAACATAGGGATGAACCTGTGAAGTTTTTAGTAGAAAGTTTGGACCGTACGAATGCAATATTACCATCCGGACAAGCCTCCTATCTTAACTCAACTAATTTTTAGCATTTTTTGACCATATAAATACCCTAGGGACAAGTTTTAAGTTATTTTAGCCATTTTTCAACCTTAGGAAGCTAAGAGGAATTGGGAGAAAAGAAAAAGGTGAGATCTTGAGGGGGTTAACGTACAGGAATCACAACAAATTGAGATATTGAAAATTTGGTCAGTTCTAATGCAACTCTTGTTCAAACGTGACTCCCCCCCCCCCCCCAAGTAATTTGATAGATAATCTCAGAATCGAAATGCTAGGAGTATGGTCCGTTCGAACGTGAAATCTTATTCAAACGTAACAGTTAAGTTTCAATTTTTCATTTGAATTTTCTCTTTAACGGCTATATTGTTGCAACCCTTTCAATGGATGTCTTCTACCATTGTGTTGAAGGGTTATATACCTTCATTAAGTGATGCATAAAACACTACAAATAGAGTTCAAGTTCAATAACAAAGTACAATGAAAAATTCTTCTTCTTCTTCTCTTTTATTCTAAAGTTTCAATACATTCTGATTTTACATATTCAGGTTGAGTTTTTGGTTTCAAGATTATTAAGGAGTGCAGTCTTTGATAATCTTAAAGTTAAGCGTTATATCTTGGGGGTAGAATTTCTAAGAGTGCATCTGCATTATAAGTGGAGAAATTACTATTTCAAAAATAGCGAGTGTCGCGCTTTGCGTAACGATCTATCTTTTTCATTTTTTATTTAGTGTCTTTGTATTTTTGAAATTGTTTAACGATGGTGGTGGTGACAGTAGTAGTGGTAGTGGTGGCGAGGGTGGGATAGTTAGTGTTAGAAAGTCGAAGTGTAAATGTATTGAAACCCAATTATTTGAGGGCAAACTTGTCTGTTATGAGAAGTTTATAAAATCTTTAATAACAACTAACATTTTTAATATTAAGTGATAAGTAGGCGACTGTCTATTTAAACTTTTAGCATATTTTATTTTAAGTGATGTAAGTTTTGGTTATAAAACACACTTAATTAAAAAAATGTTGAATGTTTTTAGTTTTAAGTGCTGAAATAGGTTATCAAACATCACCTAACTAGGAGTCACAAAACCTTCACAAAAGTTCTGTCTTGGTGGATTTCAATTGAAGTTCAAGGAGGAGGATTCTTTAGTAAAATTTCAAGAGGAGAAAACATCTAATGAAATTTGTTGGTTGAGGTTAGAGGTTCTCACCTTACCCTACGGGTGAGTATTATAGTATTTCATCTTTCTATCCGATATTACAGGTGAGTATTATAGTATTTCATCTTTCTATCCGATATTACAAAAGAATTTTTTCTTTGTTGACGCTACCCGATAAAATGTACTATTTCTATCCGAATTCTGTCCAAAACAATTAGATAGGAAGTCAAGTAGGGAATCGGGTGAACACATATTTTTTAACTATTAATTTTTTGATTATTTTAACAATTCAATTAAGTAACTTGCATCAATAAACTGATACAATAAATCAATAACACTAAAGACAACACAATAAATTCGATAATATATAAACAATTATAATAAAACACAACAAGAAAGTCATAAACATTAATATATATATATATTTTATTTTTTTAAATGTTAATATATATGTGTGTGTGCGTGTGTGCGCGCGATTAGCGTTGGGTAAGAATATAAAATTTTTATGGGTATTCTGTATTTCTACTTGATTTTTTACAAAATACCAAAAATTCTTCCATTAACTTACCTAATTTTTTGCAGTAGTAGATTAATAGGGTTAAATAGGATCAAAATATTCAAATAATCAAAAATTTGAACACTACTAGTCAAGATGTAGGTCTTTAAGCCTTGTAAGTGACTTTGACGTTTTAAGTGGATTGGTTGTGTGGAAGAGGTACTGTGGTTTTTTCCCGATTGGGTTTTCCAGGTGTAAGTTGCTTGTCTTGTGGTTGTCTATGATTGTCATAGTTTTCAAACTAGCAACTTTCATTTCGACCTTATTTAGCTTTTACATCATAGACTTGAACTTCACTTGTTGAATGGGTTGAAGTTTTAATAGGGCATTATTTTCCGCATTGAGAGCAAAAAACCTATTCGCCTCATCTAGGACATACAATGTCTGTTTCAACGTAAAGGGGAGATCCTTTGCACTCTCCCCCTGCAATAGCATTACAATTGGACAACTCAAACCCCTTAGCAATAGAAGGATTTGACACAAGGAATTTTTCATGTCATTGTTTATACAATATATACATGCGAATATACTTTAAAGAATAATACATATAGATTTTTTTTAACATATGGCACAATATTCTATTTTTAATTTTTTTTTTCAAAAAATTTAATCATATAGTAGTGATACCAAACGATAATGCTGATGTAGTATTACCGATCAATAATATCAAAATAAATAAAAAAAATGAGTTCCATTAAAATTAATAATCAACACTTAATGTAAACAAATAACTATCCACTCTTCTTTTATATAAGTAAATAACTAGACAAATAAAATTTATCTTACCCATTTAATATTTTATTATTAGTTGGTGATACCACGTCAACAGCATTGCTGACATGGTATGACCGTTAGATTCAATATTAAAGGAATAATAGAGATGTGAACGTGGTGGTTATGATCAGTGTTATCAGAACTGGAATTACGCGGTGAGACTTGTTCGACTGTGAATCGGGACTTAAGCCAGTTCGGATTATGAATTAGACCATCTATGCACTAAAACCGTAAAAACCGGCCGATTTTTCATAAAAACTACTGAATCGGGCGGTTTTTCCCAACCGGACGGTAAAAACCGTTAATTCCTATTTTTTTTTGCCCTAAATTGTTGTCCTGGTGAAGCTCCACTCCCGTCTCCTCTCCCTGTCTTCTCAAATCTCAGTCCTACTTCTCCAGTCGCAAAGACGAAGAAGGAAGAATAGCAGGCGCAAATCGACTTCAGCCGGCACAAGTTCCAACCGGCGCAAAGAGGACGAAGAACAGTCGATCTCTATCTGCTCCTTCTTCTCCACGCGATCGTCTTGGAAGTTGGAGCAACTCCTTCACCACTCGATCTCTCTCTGTAAGTGCCTCTTTCCTCTGTCTCCTTCACCAAAATTCTTGTTCAAGTTTCGGTTGTCACTTCTAAGAATTTATGTGATTGTGGATTGAGTTTTGATTTATGTGATTGTGATTTATGGATTGAGTCAGTGTATCGAGTTCTGATTTATTGTGAATATGGATTGATTCAAAAGTTACTTTTGTTGAGTAGTGTTCAGAGTCGAGCAGGTCGTCAAAATCAGACACCCCCCGTTCTACTCTACTCTTGTTAGCTTGGATTGAAAATGGCTGCCACGGCTTTTTCTTCTTCAATCGGTGACAGTCGCATTGTTCCCTACAAGCATCATCATCCTTCATCATGGCTCTATCCCAAACGACCCAATTACTTATTATCACTGCTTCCCGTTGGGCAGTCGGTTTCTCATAAAACAGCAGCAACAATGTCCATCCGAGTTCAAGGTCAGTCTTAGCTGGTGGATTATTTATATCAGTCTCCCACTGTATTATTCCTTTAATTCATAATCTGAATCAACCCATTTTTTATAACCTTCTAATAGAGCTTGGAATTCCTCATGCCGGAGTTGTTGTTGGGAGAAATTGGAAGAAAGACCATTCCGCATTCGCACGAACTGCGGCTGTTCGAGTTTTGACTGGTTCCCTTACCTCTACCGAGGGTCTTCGCTTTGCTATTGTCTGTACTTCTTACTACCTTTACTCGATTAATTTTCTCAACTTCAGTTTCTCTCTATGACAACATATATTGTGTATGGTTGTTATTAGTATGCTCGCACAGATTGATATTTCTTTTGCTCCCTGCATCAAATTCTTATGGCTTCATTTTTGTTGCAATTTGTCTGAGTTTTAATGCCATGGTTGCCAACTATCTTCAGTATTTCCTGACATTTGTTACGCATCTATTATGATGTGGTTTTTCTTATTTCTTCCATGTAATTGCAATTTTTTTTGGTGCTTGGAACCTCCCTCAACTTGGAAAAAAGTGCAAACATGGAATGTGGTCACAGAATCTATAAAAATACCAAGATGCCCTCATCACCTTATTCACTTTTCACTGCAATACCCCATTTAATTTTTTTTATTTATTATTATCTCCATCCACTTATCAACTAGGCAACCCAACCCCCACCCTCCCAAACCCGCAACCCTTCCTACCTAAAACTCTTCCATGTCTTATCTCTCCCTCTCTCTCTCGAATGTGGTAGACGGAACCAAAATTCAATGGGGGGCCAAACAATGGCGTAGTCAATAATTTTTTTAAATAGATTTTTGTTAATACCTTATTTTTAGTTATATAAACCTTTCGAAATTATTTTTCTTACAATATTACTGTAAAAATTAGTTTGAGTCATAAGATCCAAAAATTAACTCTCACCATCATAAAAACTATTTTGTGACAATTCACAAACACCTTATTGCCTAGTTATGATACAAAATAATGGCTATGTATAATTTATCTTTGCAAATAATAGTTTAATAAAGTACCATGACAAAAGTGGGTCTTTATTTTAAATATAAATCACATTTGTAATATGATATTGTAGAAATATAACTTGTTTTCCAATTTCCTTTGGTCATCGGACTTGTTCAATTAAGTATCCTCGTTTGTGAAAATGACACTCATCCATATCATTACATCCTCTTTTTGGTTATTTTTTTTGATAGGATATGAAACCCTTGTATTAAAATAGAAAGTGAGAGTACATCAAGAGTGATTGGATAAGAAATCTAACCATTATATGCATAAGAACAATAAAAAAAATCAAAAGAAAAATGAAGCCTTTAAATCATATAAAGCTATCAATCTCGTTAAAATAGTAAAAAACAGAATTTTTTTGAAAGCCTTTGAAATTGAAGTCCAAAACAATGCTAAAAAATGAATACAATCTGCATAGTCCATCCGCACACTCATTCCACTCTTAGAAAATTCTCATGTTGCACTCCTTCGAAATTACTCAAAAAATTGTGATGATAGCACAATTTCAAAGAGTAATGCCTTCGTCAAGTCTCCCAAACCTTTTGCATCATCTATATAAACAAGGAAGAAGATTCTACAAGGATCACCCAACTCAAGCCTGTCTCTCAGTACAAATGATACCACAAATTCAAACCAATACCGCCTTTATACATCACACACCATTGATGGGAAAGACAAGTATTAGGCTTCATTCTGAAGTATGTCAAGTCTTAATCTTACAATGTACAACCATCCATGTAAAAACTTGCACCTTCAAAAGTACTTTAACATTCCAAATCATTAAAGCAAGAAAAAAAGAAGGAAAATAATTTTCCTGACAAAGATTCAAAAAAAGATCTACACGAAAAGACTCCAACATCCACCTTCTTTTATGACTTGACTCTATATTCATAATAATGTTATTAAGAATAGCAATAAATGAATTCAAATCAAAGGTGTCTCTATCATCTAAATTCAGACGAAAAGCAAAATCTCAAGAATAGGAGACTCATACAATCGAATCATAGACGTAAGGGAGGAACTATGAAATGATAGAGACAAGGAAACAAATATGAAAGACAATGTTCACCCACCCAAACATCTCTCGAGTTTACGAGAATTTTTATGAAAGCCTTTCATTTGCTTCTCTTGGGCTCCCCAAAACAAATTCTCTCTCCATTACCCAACCTGATATCTTGGAAAAATCTCGTCAAATCCTAAGAAATGAATTTCTATGGGCATCGGAAACTACCTCTCTCAACCCCCATTAGCGTCCCATCCATGGGTTTGTAATTCATATTTGCTTCCGATAACTAAATGCCTCAAGGAATTTATTTCCAGAGGAAACCTCCAAAAGCCACTTAGTCTCTAAAACAATATTTCTTGCCTTGCCTTCAAATTACCCACTAGAAGACCATCTTTATCCCTAGATCTATGTACCACCCCCAACTAATCATGTGATTCTTTTTCTAAAGTATGTGGTGGAAAAGAGTTTGCCTCACCCCTTTAGATAGATAAGCTTTCTTTCACCCATCTATTCTTTTCTCAACTTTTTTCACTATCGGATCTCAAAAAGAAACGATAGTGGATTCCTACCCAGCGGTAACCCCAAGTACTTCAAAGACTACTCTTCTACTTTACCCCCCAAAAGTCCCACCATCCTATTAATTTGTTCATTATTTTAGTTAATGCCCACAAGTACGCATTTGTGCACCAAGTGAATTGCCTATATATATGATTTTCTAGAAACCTAAGGGGAAGCATAGGGGTTCTAAAAATTTATGGGGCGATATAGAGATTTTTGAAAAGTGAGGGTGGCCATGCCCCTCCTAGGCCCCTTCATAGTTCCGTCTCTAGTCATCAACAAGGAAGACCTACAAGGGTAGCGATAACAACCCAACCCAAAAGACAAAGTTTATGGCCATAACTCATAAGGTGGCGGAAAATAATTCGAAAGCGAGTAGCTAAGACCCCGATAGCGTCGATGAAAGCTTTCATTTTTTATTGTTCTTATATTTCATTCAGGATACAAGTGTTGAAATGGAGTAAAGGATATAGTGTTTTACAACTTAGATTGTATGCTTGATAGGCGAAGGTAAAAGATTCCAGATTTTATGGAACCCACAAACCCACACTACCCTCGGGTCATCACCCATCTCTCCCTTCACACCAGCAATACACCTTATGCCGAACACAAAAATGCAAACCTAGCTTCACCGCCTACGTCCATGGCAACATCATCGACAAAACATATATATACATAATCTATTACCTTACAAATTGAGATTTACAAATCAAAAGATATATTACAAACATATGTGCCAATACATAAAAAAGAGAAATAGGGGAGGGAGCGAAGAGAAAGAGGTGTGGTTTGTGGGTATGTTCTCAGGCTTTATTATTCGTCTTTTTTTGATAAATCTTGTTAAGGTAAAATTGTCATTTTACCCATTAGTTTGGTAATTGGACTCATGATTAAGTGTATGTAACACACATTCCACCGGAATTTGTCACGTGTACACTTTTTCCCTCGAGCTGAGGGAAATTTAGTGTAAAAATTTAAAAGTATGAGGATGTGGTCTGCAATCACCCCTAATTACTGGAAAGCCTTTTTGTTATTAACAGTAAAATTTACTAGGCCTCTTATTATTCACCCTATGATTTTGCAATTAGTTCCTACAAAATCTATGATGTCCCTTTTCACTTGACTAGGATTCATATTTGACTATAATTTAGAAGATATTGGCACAAGTTTGATTTATTTTACCCAATCTTAACTCTTCCACTGTTATTTTTGTGTTGGCAATTTGTTGGCTATGGGCTACTTTTTATAACAAAGGTGGTTGCCCGGTTCAATGAGATTGTAACAAAGCCACTGTTGGAGGGAGCTCTGGACACTTTCAGGAAGTACTCTGTTAAAGAAGAAGACATTGATGTATGTTCCACATGCCATCCTCTTGTTGTTCTTCTTATTGGTTCTTTATTAAGCTTTGTCGAAAAATTTGGGAACTTATTTTGATTTTTGTTACCTATTATGTGTTTATGTTATTCCTACTTGTTGAGAATGTTAGTAGTATGTTGTCATTATTTCTATTGTAACAAGTATACCTCAAAGTTGAGGGTATACTAGTCTTTTACACTTTTGTGGGTAACTATAAATATAAGTTGAGAGTGAGAGTTACGCTATGATTCTAACTTCTCTGCTCCCTCTCTTGGAGTTCTCCGAATTCTTTATTTACTAAACTTAACATGGTATGAAAGCTAGGTTCTTCCAATTAGATCAAAAATTCACCTCTGATTTCTCTTGTTTTCTGAATTTAATTTCTTCCCGTATCTTAGTTATTGTTTTTTCTTCTCATCTTCTTCCCTGTTCTATGTGACCACCACCTGGATGAGCAACTAGGGTTTATACTCTATTATGAATGAACAGTGACCGGTGGTATGATTTAGTATACTGTGTGTGATTTCAGTTCATTGGATTGTTATTTGTAGGATGGAATCATTGTATGTATTGCTGAATGTTCCAACGTATTGATGTCATTGTTTGGGTG